GCACTCCTCCCAGCCCAGACAGAGAAGGTCACCCCCACAAGCACAGCCTACTGCACAGCTTACCATTTAAGAGACTGAAGTGGATCAGCTCCTCTTTCGAGAGCTGAGCACCTTTGGAAGGGCTCAGGGACTCCACTTCAGTGAAAGCTGCAGGAATAAAACACAGTGGAAGATGTACCCACAGAGCCACTGAAGTTGTTATCACAGAGCCATCGCAGCCTTTCTCATCCAACATGAAACAAGCCAAGAGCATCAACACAAAACCTTTTGTCAATAGGACCACTGTTGCACCACAGCGAGCACACAAGTCTTGCTGCCGCCTCCCCTCACACAAATGTTCTCCTCACGACAGTCCTATGGGGGCAAGTTAACTTATCCATTCAAATAAAATTTATGCCTCGTCTTGGTTTTCCAGAATCCTCAAGATGGCCAACGACAGCAGAATTTTTTAAAAAGTTACCAATTAAAATGTAAGCAAGCAGAAAAAAAATAACCAGGTTAAAAACCTCGTAGGGAAGACAGAAACCCAGTGACAAAGAAAAATGCAGCCAGGGCAGCTGAACAGCTCCAGTCATCTCTGGGGAAAGTGCCAGCTTCACTTGGAGCTTTTCAGGGCATTCGCTTTTCTATGAGCAGCCAGTAACAGACTGGTCCCCACACTGCAATGTGTCCATTTAGATTAACACGACAAGAAGATGTGCTAAGGCAACTCAAGGTTTTCATGATCCCCACATTTCAGGACAACACCCCGATACAGGACACCCCAAGCCGACTCACCTGGAGGTATGTGAAGCTTGAAGAGCAGCTTGAGCTTATGGGTAAAACTTCCATAATACATGGTATCTAATGGGGTGGGATGCGGGAGAAGAACAAGAAAGAGGAAGATTATTCAAGGCACTCTGTTCAACAAGATTGATGCTCTGGAAGCACGCAAGCAGCAAACTTTAGACCCAAACACCACTAGCTGCAAGAGTATAACGAGCAAAATCTGTTTGCCCTAGACTAAGGTGGTTAAATAGTGTCAGGACTTAGGGGGGGTCTAGAACCTGTGACCTGAGGGATGTGAGATGGGGACCTAAATCCATGTGTCTCTAGCAAGTGGAGGGAGCAGGAAGCTAGCCTACACAGAAGCCCCTCAACAGCAACTGACCAGAGCAGGCCATGTGGTACCAGTAACCTCTTCCAGGGTGAGATTTGCTCACTGCTCTGAGGAACAAGAGGTCTCGTTAGGTCCCTGCAATAGTCTGTCCCCTTTTCTCACCACCAGCCCAAACTGATGGGAGATACATTTGTTAAATCACCCCACTGTGGAATAGCGTTCAGTAAATAACCCACCCCCTTCCATCAGGGCATACCGAGAACGCAGGCAAATTCCTTGAAGTTTATAAGGCCGTCTAAATTTTCATCCAGCAACCGGAAGGTCCAGAGGGCGAGGGAGTCCTTGTTTGCGCAACGGGCCCAGGGGCTGAGGAGATGGTAGAGGAGACGGAACTGCTGGCAGTCGATGCGATACTGCTCTAAGTAGGGCAGGCTGGGGTCATGGTGCTTCAGGGCTGGGCTGTTGACACTCCAGTAGCAAGAGAGAAAGTGCTCCTTCTGCAGGAAATAAGTGAGGATTCAGGACCCTATCCCTCCCCTCCATTGAGAGGGGGCTCGCAGAGAAAGAGAGAAGAACCATCCTGGGAGAGACAAGAGGGCCCCTCCCAGGCTGTTGTTCAAACCTTAAGTTTCA